TGAATGCGGAAGTATATAAGTTATATTTATAAATGTATTTGGAAATCTGTAGGATTTATAGAATTCAATTTATACTTAAGACTCGGGAGGATCATTTGTGCTTAAATTTGAGAATAAACGTGCTTACTATGTTGTTTAACGTTTATTATTTACAAAATAAACAACTGAAAAACATTAGAAAAAAAAAGTTGAAAATAATTTTATTTTTATTCTCTACTTATAAGCGGTGACTATTGTGTTTACGCATGTACGGTCGACGAATGTTTTCCCCGTTTTATTATTGACAAATTAGTTTTTAATCTACAAAATACTGTTATAAACACGAAATTCGTCGTAAATCTATCTCATCAAAACTGAAGAATTAATAACCTAATCAAGATTTGAGAATACAACACTCAACGTAGAGTCAAACGAATTAGATCAAAGTTGAGGTAGGTAATGAATACACCAGACCCATAGCTGGTACTTAAGTCGATAAGCTGAAATCACTTCAACCCGTTAGTTCTTCGATCGATGTTCAGCCTTGGCGTCGACACGTCGACGACCGTAGACGTGCGAGTATAACAGCTGTATTATAGTTATTATATTATATAGTTGACGAGAGGAGGGCAAACACCCTGTAGACAATCATTATACGTAAATAGATAATAATATTATATTATTATTATAATGACGATGACGATAACATAATAATATCATACCACTATTAAAATATCTAAGTATCCCGACCCGAGCCGGCGGGCCGCACCTGTCGTTTTCACGGGCGTTTGGCGCGAGCGATGCGCCCGACCGATAACGACGGCGATGCGATGCGCGCGCTTGCGCTCCAGTCGCGGACGATGTTATCTCGGCACCGGTACACCGCCGCCGCCGCGCTCGCGAGAACCCGCGGCAGCAACAACCAGGTCAATGTTTATGATATTTTGTATACGAAGACGAAGACGGAAACGGTGACGGAGACGACGACGAAGACGACGACGACGACGACGACGTCTTGGAGCGGCATAAATAATACATACCTAAAAGCGTCTTAAAATATTAATATTAGTATATTATATTCCTGCGCTGCAGACGTGCACACATACCTAATAATATTATGATAATACCGTGTTCCGGATTAAAATAACAAGATAATATCATGATTCTTGATATGTTATTATTTTTATTATTATTATTATTATTGTGAGATACTGAGATGGCGGTTTATTGTGGTCGGCGAAAATTTTCAACATCATATTATTATTATTATTATTATTATTATTGTTTTTTTATAAATCGCGACGAGAATACGCACTGTACCGGGGTTTCGTCGTAGCCGATAACGTAATAACCGACGTGTGGAAAATTTCAATGTTATTATTTCGTTTTATATAAATGTATATTTATACACGTCATAGTCTTGGCTAAATCCTCTACGAAAGCTCTACTACAATCGTGTCGTCTCTAAAGTTACGTAATATTTTTTTTATTCGATTTCAAATCGAATTTTTGGAATACATTTCAATTTTATCAAGACGACGATATTTTTCTTGTGGCAGCAGTAGGTATTATACATTTATACGCATAACGCAAGGAATTCAAGTTCAACAAAATCCACTTATGTTTTGTTAGTTTTTAGAAATTTGAAATATATATATATTTTTAAGCCCAGTGTTGATGCGTATGAAGGGGCTTAATTCGATTTCGTTAAATCTCTGAGTTCTATGTTCGTGAACTACACGGCTGTCTGCCATTGTACGACAATATAATAACGTAAAAAAATACTACCACTGTGCTTTACTTTTGTGCACAGCTGTCTTAGTAATAAAAATAATACTCGTAGTGCGCCACAGTCGCAGTGATCCCAAGTTTTAGACACAAAAGTTGAACGTGCAAATTAAATATTGGGCATCGCGCCGCATGTTGTATACTAAGCAAATGCCTCTCATGCTTTAATAAAATTTGTCAAAAATGGAAAACTTTGAAAAGAGAATGGTAGAAAGAAAGCCAGTAAAAATCGACCGATTTATTTGGTCGTGAAAATACTTGACTTTACAAAATGGAAACCAGCAGTAAAAATCATGATTATCGTTAATTCCGAAATGTATAAATCTACTACGAATATAATACAATATAATATTATATTATACATTTATAGAAAATCCCATCCTAAATAATAAGTTTGTTGAATCACAAAATTCACTTAGCATTGGAATATTTGTTTAGATTTCATTTGAATAATATACATTAAAAACATATGCAACGTTTTCTGAACTCTGTGACTCATCGGTTTGACTTTCAAATTTCTCTGATTAGTTTATTATTTTTCTATTTTCAGTAAAATCGATTAATATTTATTTGCAAATAAAACTACCTATATCTATAATATTACATCACAACGTTTGTGTATCGTTTAACAATAAAGAATGTCATCGCAAAAATATAATTGTAATCAATGAAACTGATATGAAATCATATGAATTAATTAAAAATGTGTATTCGATTTATAAAAAAAAAAAAAACATTAAAAAAACATTACGTTTTACGTTTTAAAATGTCACTAAAAACGTTCAAAAGCTTTTCCATTCATTGTCAGCAGTCATTTGTCACCGACCGTTTATTTAATATTTTATTAAAAGTCAGTGATACAATAATTGCACAACATATTTTACGGCGATAACAAAATACCATACAATACGATAATTATTATTATTGTACTTAATTGTCTTAATCGGTTTTGACAAGGGCGCCTAAAATGTGCGTATTTTGTTTGAAGAGTGAGCGATCATTTTTTTTTTTTTTGCTCCCCAACAAGACCTTTTTTGACCTCTCTAACGCTTACCGCACACACAAAACGACGTCAGTTATAATAGCTAGTACATTTATAAAAATGCATCGGCGCAAATGTGATTTTATGGTGAGATTATTAAACGCGGAAAAAACGGATGACGAGCGGAAGCACCACTGGCCACCCCTCTCCTTAAGTGGTGAATTGGGACCGTCGAAAATCAGACGGGCACATTCGACAATATTATTACCTACTACGCTCGCGGTACATATAACCGTTTGCATATTATCATTATTATTTATTATACACTATATTATTATAATGTCGTTATCGTTATAATGTACCTTAGTGTTTTGGCCATCGACCCCGTGACTAACTCTCCGTGATAATGCCGCAAATTAATAGGTATATACCGCGCGTTTTGTATAGGTATATAACATAATAATGTTATGTACTGCAGATATATGATATCAAAATCGCAGTTATCGCATTCGATCGCCGTGAACTGTTTTATGTACATATACATATTGTATAATATTACTTCGTATAATATTATTGTATTACAATGTTTAGGCAGGTATATAAACTTCTGGTCGACCTCACTTTCGACGATTTCCATAATGTTTTCTCTGGTTTACGTCGTACTGTTACTATATTATACTGTACGCCCATTACTATAATAGTGCGCGTTGTGTTCGCGTCGTGTAACCAGAGCGATCAAGCCGACCGATGGACGGGGGCGCGGGATTGATGGCGTATAAAATCCGAGTGAGAGCACACAAATTGAAGTCAAACGCCACCACTCATTATTCTCCTGCTGAATCACCAAAACGTGTATATATATATATAATTCTAGACGCCCGTAGTATTTGACCCGACGAAAACGAAAAATAATTAACGAACGATTCGCGCAGGTATCACGAAATACTTTGAGTATAGTTCGTAATAAAATCATTAAATTACGTGGGCGAGTGCTGTTTCACGGTCGGTAACCGTCAATTATTATTATTTGAACGGTATCAAACGCGTTGGACATTGCGCGCTACGTGATTGCGACGAATAAAATATTATTATTATTATTATTATTATTATGATATCGTTTCACGAGCAATTCGGTTCGGTTCATCGCGACAAGAAAACGTGTATACACGCCATTAACTATTAAGTATATATAATGTCGTCTCGCAGGAAGATTCATTAGACGACGACTAGGGCGATTCCGAAATGAATAATCGCAAGCGTTTGTTCAATTGGTTTCGCCGCCTACCTCGAAAGTTGTTGTAAATCTCGCGTGACAACGATAGCACGCATGTATATAACATGTAACTTCGTACAAATAATATTATATATATATATATATATATATATATATATATAAAGTATACTTATCGAAACCGTTTAAAAGCAAGACCGTGTACAACACTGTCCGTTGGAACAATCGAACGCTTGTAACTACGTGACTTGCGGGACGCAGATTCAGTTATTATGAGATTGTTTAAATCCAAAAATAATGTATTAATGCATATTATATATACAAATAAAGTAGAAATAAAATTCAAAATATAAACGACGTGCGATTTTATCACGTTTATATTGGTCTAGAAAATACTTTATCGTGCGAATTCAAAGTTTTTACCTAAATGGCAATCAAGCCGAATACATTACGTTTATAAACCATTCAAACACACTGCAGTCCATTTTTTACCTCTTTGCGTTTCCAATATCCACGAAGAAATAATTCTATTTTTTTCATTAAACCCTCGACGGCACTAGACGTACTGCATTACTGAAAAGAGTGTAATACCTTTAGTAGTTTTGATTTTGTTCCTGCGTAATAAGCCAGCGACAATTTTGTATTGGTACGTTTTCGTGAGCAAATCGCATTCTGTACATAACCCACACCGCGTGTAGGTATATTATTCAATTTTATCGAAAACCGAAACGATAATAACGTTTATTTTTTCCATTATCATTATAATCGAGTTAAACAAATTGAAATAAATTACTAAGCGAAAACTTCATGGTTCACCACTCTTACAGCTCGAGATGCGATAAAACTCTCTGGGGAAACACATAGCTCTATTGTTGTTTTTTATTTTTAAAGATGGTTTTAATAACGTTCTAATGATATACTATTAAATATATTATATTATATGTTTTCGTATTGAATAATTGTTATTTGTGGACACAATATTATACGTATACCTAATATCATTATGTAATTTTGTTTCAGTGTTTATGCAATGTCAATGAAGAGGCCGCTCAAAACCAAAAATTAAAAATAAATCTTTTGAACACGATCCTTTTAATATATATATAAAAAAAAAATTGTATTTTCTACGTTCCCATTATTATATATTATACAAAACATTATAACACATTACATTATATTATACCTAAACGTCTTTATATTTCGGTCGATTAACTTATAATAATAATAATTATTTTTTATGTTTAGAAATATGAATATTTTAATGTTAATTTTAAGTTTTCCCGTTGGATTTCTAGTCAAAATTTTCGCGTACACACTTACTATTATAATACTCATATCATAATAGGATACCTATTGTGTAATATTTTAGTCCAGCCATATTATTTTGTTATTATTATCGTTATCGTTATAAATATTATTACTGTGCACCTCATATACTACCGACACACAAACAGACATCTCCACCGGATAGGTAGATGAATTTTATTATTTTGTATATTGTTGTAAATACATGCGCGCGTCCATGTGTGTTCGGTTGTGCACTTGACGAAATGTAACTAGACGACGGTATGAAAGAACTATTTTCATTTGTTTTACTCGAACTCCGAACAAAAACCCTTTAGTCAATTTCCGCATTGGGAATTAAAACGCGAATTCCGCACAGATGATATTCGTTCCAATATTTCTACGAAAATGTATACACATAATAATATATGGTCTATTCGAATCGCACCGTTTAGCAGCAGCAAACCCAAACAATAGCGATAATGATAATGATGATAATAACAAATAAGTTCATAGACGTGTGCGTCACCATCCGCGCCAACTGCGCACACACCTACTGAACTTTATCGTACACTCCAGTGCTTCGTTTCTGTTGTTTTTGTCGACATTTCTACCCACACGAATTTCAGTTAATATAAATAATATTAATTATTTTAATATCTCTCAACAATGTTTTAATAAAAATAACTCGAATTGTTTTCAACACAGTCGTACATTTTATTATTGCAAGATAATAATAATATAATATAATATATATATATATTATAATGTAACTATATATAATATATACTTAATATACTGATATTATTGTAATAAGCGCATTGGTTTCCGACTTTCTTTTTTTACTTAACCAGGCGATCTAGTCATGTTAAATACTTCATTTTGTATAAATATATAACATAAATTATATATTCTCAGCTGTGATAATATATTTAATATAATTTTTAATTTGAATCGATTTTTCGTGTATATTATTTTGACCCCCGTGAAATGTATTGTGTATCGTCAAGTTTAATTATAACCAAATACATTTTGTGTTAAGCCAACTTTGTCAAATTTTTGTATAGACATTTTTTTTTATTATTATTATTATTATTATTAATTTATTTATTACTTTGTATATTTTGTCGTTATTTATCGTATAATATAAAATAAATGTTCATTCAAACGTGTTTTGATTGTAATTTATCACAATAATAGCGTAAGTAAAACAAAAACAGCAATAACAACGTTAAATCGGCATCGACTCGTCTATATATTGCTGCTGTGTAAGTATAATGCTCTTGGTTCTATTGTTATACACCAGCACTCATGCATCGTGCGACGGTTATCGATAAGATACATTTTAAGATAGTATTTCATATTAAAACACTACTGTTTCAAGAAATTTATTTAATTAAACAAATATTTTACTCTTAATGTTTATAGTCAACGTCTATCTTCATTACAGAACGAATAGATATAAGTACCGAGCGATTCGTCGTTACTAAACAAAACACGCCAACGTACTATCTTTATATCGTATTGATATAATTATCGACATTTATTCGTATTGTTTTTTAGCATTGATTTACAATCGATAAAAAAAAAAAAAAATATGACTATTATTTAATTAATTAAACTTAAACATGTTTTATTAGAAAATAATATAACGTTTCGTACTTAAAACTTAGAAAAGATTAATGAGAATCCGTTGAAGTACTAAAATAGCAAAATATTGTAATGAAACTACATTGTGAGTGCGTTTCAATGTATTAATGAGACGCTGGTTCATATAGTGTACACTAAATAACATCAAAATATAATAGTTTGCCTTTACTTTATAAAAGTTATAAATGCACCGATAATTATTGTAACTTATAAGTATGATACTTGGAACCTAATTATAGAACTTTCTTCTGGCAGGCAACTGTGTGTTATAAATGAAAAAAAAGGAATTTATATTTAAAAAAAAATGTAGAATATGGTATATGTTTTTCACGGTATATAAAACGATTAGAGAACCGAATACACTTAAACGAGAACTAAACTTTACAGATTATGAAGTTGAAAAAAAATAAGTCTAAAAAAGTTCAAATAACGTAGGGAGTAAAATCATTTTGAATACACATAAATAAGGACACTTTGTTGACTTGGCATTGAATTAGTCGATTAAGCCGACTCGCACAAGAATCGGAACAATTAGACAAACTGTAACTAGGCATTTGACTTCTTGCTAATTTGACCCCCACTCTAATTTTAACTCATTCAATATTACAAACAGTGTTGTAAATTGTAATATTAGTGTTGCATACAAAATAGTATGAGTAATAAATTATGACAAAACAACAAGTCATTAAAAACTTGGTAATTGTGTATGTTCACTTTTTTAATAGATTATAATTTAGTTTTACAATGATTTTGCAAGGTTATAAATACTATTTGAGAACTTATGTATATTGCTTTATGTACAAAAAAGTGTGGTTAAGATATAAATCGAGTGTTAGGTTAAGTAAAGGTGGAACTCATTTCATTTTGTCACTCTAGAGCCGCATAAAATCAATTATAAATAGTCTCATCTCAAAAAATAATTTTTATATGTGGTGTTTGGTTAAAATGTTGTTTTTAAATTCATTGAAAAAAACCGATGTAATTAATTTGCTTAATTTATATCTCTTAAAAGTATATGAGTACCTACGCTTAATAAAGGCTTAAAAAAAAAATGTACTGAAAATACTGGTATTTGAATCAAAGCTTTTAAAAATAGTAACAACAATAGGAAACATGTAGTAGCATTATTTATCAGAAGAAAAATTTAAATATTTGTCATATTTAGTTTTTAAGCAAGTTAATATGTGCATTTTTCAATTTCAATATTTTACATACGTATTTATAACTTGCTTATAAACAACGTTAAAAAATGTCCTTACCTTTAAGTTTGATAATGACGAATCAATATAATCTACATTATTAAAGAATACTACTTACTACACAAAATCAGAACACAAATTTGTTATGCCAAGCGTTTATGAGATAAATATAAAACAAAAGGCTGTTGATTCTAAGAGTGTTATAATGTTTAAACTAAATAAAACAAAAAACAAAACTAAAAAATAATGAATTCAAATAAATCAAGTATAATAATTAATAATATACATAGTGCGACATTTAGAATTATATATGTTGTTTTACCACTGAACATTATTGAAATACTTATATCCCGAATGTGATAATATTATCTTTCTGATGATCGAAACGTTACCAGCTTTTATTAAGTTTTATTACATGTTAAAGTCCATATTCTCGCATTATCTTTCCTGTGCGGCTGTGCACACAAACTATAATCGTGACTGCTAGCTAATATTAAATTGTCGTACCTAATCACAACAATGAACAAACTATTGATCGACGCCGTTTTGCGATAGCATGTATTCGGATGCTGATTTTTATTTAAAATTTATTGCAATTTATATAAATGATTAAGTTGATACAAAGTAATTTAATTTAATTTTTATTTTATTTAATATTAAATATTATTAATAACTAAATTTACTTAAACATATAAAATAAATATTTAATTAAAAATATAAATTTTAAAATATTAAAAAATCTAAAAATTACAATATATGTAAAATTATAACTAAATATTTACAGTGTACATTGAGAAGCCATAACAATTGAATATAAATTATATTAGTGCAGTTTTATAAATGAATTGTATCGTTGCTGCGCATTATGGTAAGCCATCAAATGTCTCGACTTTTCCCATTTCCTTATATAACATATCTTAATATAAAAAAATACATATTACGTAAATATTTAAAATTTTGTGAAAATATTTACACATTCAATCAATTTTCACCAATAAAAGTTTTCTAAAACTTCAAAAAGCTAAAGTAGTAACTAATGAGTATTGGGACTAAAATATTTTATTGGTTATGACGGTTATACTTCGTTAAGTTGACATCGTAAAACTACGCTACCATATTATACTACCATTATGACCACGAACCAGATAGAAACTTTAACTCATGTACGCAAAAAATTGTAAAAGATTACATAATATAATACATAAACGCCCATTTTATGGTATATAAGTGTTTTTTCCTTTCTATGAGTAATAATATAATTTTGATTTATGTGTACATAGATATTAAATAATAATCGTAACCATCATCACGTAGGTCTCTCATAGACATTCTGAAAAAATGATTTTATTGAAAAATTATAATTATATAGTATATTTACAAACAGGAATTAACTCGTATAATATGTATTTTAGATGCCTACTGCATTGTATATGCTAGTTTAAAGATCTGCATTCTGCAACGAAACGTATTGTATTATATTTGAGTAGGTACCATAAACATAAGTTTATACCCAGTACAGTTAAAAAAAAAAAAAAAATTAAAAAGAAATTTTTCTTCTAATTTTACAAACTTTGAACTGTAAGTATATAATAATATTATATATACTAACTATTATGTTATCTGATAGTTAGAATATCAAAAGCTAAAAAATAAATATAATTTTTAATAACTAATAAACATATGTATTTTATTGTTGTTGTATATTACAACAGAGTACCAGTAATTGACTATACCACTATTAAATTTTATTTGTATAAAATAAAAAAATAATATTATCCTACTATGCACTAATTTCATACCGTTTGTAATAAATAATGTAGATAAAGATAACATTAGGAAAATCCAGTATACCTAGCCATTTTATTGAATTCAATTAGAAGTATAATTTTATTATTGAACGGAGTTCATCCATAAATACGAGTATAATTTAAAATTTAAGACTAAATTGTATAATTATTTTGTAGTGAACAT